GTTTTCTTAACGTTGTCTGAAATAAATTAAATTAGGTGATCGACCCGCAACATGTGCGAATATAAACTTTAAAGAATAAATAATTTTGGTGTTTAATATTTTGATTTTATCATTTATAAAAATTAATTGTATATGATTGTTTATTTTAAAGTCATATGTATGTAAGAAATCAATATTATATATGTAATATTTTGGTGATGATAAGAAAGAAGAGGAATCCCACAAAAATATAGCTGAGATTAAAAGTGATTGTGAGTACTTAGAAATTTTTGGAATGAAGTTTAAGACCAATGAGTGATCTTCTTGTTTATGTCGTTGTCTTGCCAATTGTCTATGATTTTCCAGAAGACAAAACCACTTGTCCACTTCACAGACCTTCCCGTAAGACAATTAGTTTGATCAAAGTCATTTCTTCTTACCATTTGTTACACTCTTTGAGGTGAAAACTAATCTTTTGGACATTATCTCAAGGTAAAAATAGACAGAAAAAATATTGATGAATTAATTTTCTTTTATAATGTTTACTTTTGGATGTGATTACTTTTTCAAGCTTGGATACTATCGTTGATCTCAATAGCCAGATTCTTATATATACACTTCATCTCTACCATATCCGAATTTTTTTCCGTCTCATTCAACTTAGTGGCCTTCATTTTTTCGTATGAAATGTCAAAAATGTGTGTCACCATTTAAAAAATCAAATAAACATTTTTTAATTTCTATAAATGTATCGACCAATATTCTGACCAAATTCTTAGCCAAAAATCTTCGATACTTTCTCTACTAATTAATTATTAATTTTTGTAATAAAAGTAAAAAATAGAATGATTTCACATTTCTTAAACAAATACATACAACTCTCTATACGATACTTTTTCTACGTTTCAAATAGCGAATAAAATATTGACCGATAATCTCTAATAATTAATCGTATTAAAAAATATTAAAGAAAATTTTGTTATCAATCATCCCAACTTTTATTATGATTTCTTCTCGCTTTTTAAATAATATAATTGATTAATGTTTAAAAATGTGTTTTGATAAGACAATATTATTTTCTATTCCAGAAAACGTTGAGAATATGATAATTTGACATATTCTTCTACACAACAATTTTAATTGATCTAAATATAGGAAATCTTCTTAATGTTTGCTTTTAAAACAGAAAAAATATTTGAAACTAAAAAGATAGTCTTGACATATTTTTTGAAATAATCAAT